GCAGTACACGTAGCAAGGTTTTTTTTTTTTATTATATAATAAAAAGAAAACACATAGAATCGAAAAAGCATAGAGGAAGCTAGTGTTAGAGGCCTTTTCTTTTGCTTTTTGTTAATTGTATAATAAATAAAAAGAAAACAAATAGATAGAATACAAAAAAAAGAAACAGAACAGAGAAGCTAGTGTTAGTTTTTTTTTTTGAAGAAAACAAGCAGTTAGTAAATAAATAGAGTGCAAGTGCTTTTTTTTTTAAAGAATAGAATTAGAATAGAGAGTGCTAGAGTTAGAGGGTCAAATAAAGATGGAAGAGATGTGTTTTTAGCCGATTTTGGCTAAGGACTCAGCTGCTCGGATTGAGTTGGGCAGGTCATTCCACCAGGAGGGAACATTAAACAGGCATTAAAGTTAGCATGAAATAAAAACTGTAACCGTCTTTTCCCAGTTGTGATCCAGGTGAAATTGCTTCTTTAATAAGAAAAATAAAGGGAGGGACTTGAATTTGTCTTTCAGAAATCGATTGGATAGTCAGATTTCTGTTGCTTGCTAATTACTGCAGTCACTTCATGTGAGTGACAGGTTGCTGAAGGGACAGCATTGAGACTTGACTGGCTATTGGACAACCTTATTGCCCAGACCTGACACTGTAGACACCGCAAAAGGGAAGAGACGTCATTGCAAGGGGATAGGCATGTTAAAGTATAGTTTAGTTTGTCTGGAGTTTTCAATTCATTTCTATGGAAGCTCACGTGTTGGCTTGTGAAAAACACTGAGCATCCAAGAGTATACAAAACTTTATGCAAACGAGCATAAAAACGAGTCTTAAATATTTAAAAAATACAGATTGTGCTGGAGTTTCTGCTGGATTTTGTGTGTGAATCATATTGTTTACACATTGGATGCTTTGATATATGTTAAATATTGTAGTTTTGACACTTTCACTGTGAATAGACTTAACAAGTTTATTAAATTGACATATATATGATTATATTGACTGTGTACTGAAAAAACAGATTAAACAAAATTGCTATAGACACACCCTAAAGTGGAGACGTTGTAGTGTTTTGAGTGCCATGGAGCTGAACCATTACTCACACTTAAGCACCATTTAAGCTGTATGAATAAAGAACATTTGTATGTCTTACCCGTACTGTATGTGCCTGTCCCAGCCTCACAGGATTGGCCAGATTCACCTGGATCTGTGCACAGTGGAATGAGCCATAAACTCCCACCACCTCTAATAAACCATCATCAACACTAAAGAAAGAAAAAGGAAATAAAGAAAATACTAATTAAACAGGCAATATTTGCAAAGGTCATTCTACTCTGATCCAGATCTATAAGTATACATTTTTATTTAATTTCAACCTAATCTTGACAAAGCCAAGTCTGTATATTATAGTATAGTAGAGAATATGAAGTGTATAGTAAAGTGGCATTTGGATTCTCACCGTGTTGGAGGATAGGGTTCATCTCCCATTCCCTCCCACAGTCTACAGCCACCGCCCCAGTAGCCGATATTGCACACTATTATCCCCTCCAGACTGGGCAAAGT